GTAAGCCAACGCGACTCTCCACCTCCTCCTCCTCCTCTCTCTCTCTCTCTCTTTCTCTTCCTTCCTCCTCTCTCTGTTTCTCTCTCTCTTTTCCGCGCGTGACCAATCAGGGCCGGGGCCAAGCTTGGCGGGGATTGCGAGTTTGCCTAACCGCCTCTCCATCCCTCTTTCTCTCCCTCCCTCCCGACTTCATCTTTCTTTCCTTCCTTTCCTCTTTTTCATCCATCCATCCATCCATCCATCCATCTTCTTCCTTCTCTCCTCCTTCCTTCTTTCCTTCTCCCATCGTTCTATTCTTCCATCCCTTCTTCCTTCCTTTCCTTCCTTCTCTTCTTTATTTCTTCCACTCTTCCTTCTATCCTTCTTTCTTTCCTTCTCTCCTTCTTTCTGTCCTTCTTTCCATTCTTCCATCTTTCCTTCTTCCTTCCTTCTATCCGTCTTTCTTTCCTTCTTCCTTCTGTTCTTTCCATTTTTCCTTCCATCTTTCTTTCTTTCCTTCTCTCATTCCTTCCCTTCTTCCTTCCTTCCTTCCTATTTTCTTTCTTTCCTTCCTTCCACCCTTCCTTCCTTCCTCTTTCTTTCTTCCTTCCTCTTCTTCCTTCTTCTTCCTTTTCTTTCTTTTCCTTCCTTCCTTTTCCTTCCTTCTTTCCTTCCTTCCCTTCTTCCCTTCCTTCTTCCTTCTTTCATTCCTTCTTCACTTCTTTTTTCCTTCCCTTCTCCTCTTTCTTTCCTCCTTCTTTTTTTTCCTTCTCTCCTTTTTCTCCTTTTTCTCTTTTCCTCTCCTTCCTTTCTTCCTTCTATCCTTCCTTCCTTTTTTCAACTTTCTTTCCTTTCTTTCCTTCTTTCATTCTATCCTTCTATTCCTCCTTCCCTTCTTCCTTCCTTCCCATCTTCCTTCCTTCTTTACACCCTTCCTTCCTTCCTCCTCCTCTTCCTTCCTTCCTTTTTTCAACTTTCTTTCCTTCTTTCATTCTATCCTTCTATTCCTCCTTCCCTTCTTCCTTCCTTCCCATTTTCCTTCCTTCTTTACACCCTTCCTTCCTTCCATCTCTCTTTCCTTCCTCCTCTTCTTCCTTCCTTTGTTCATTCCTTCCTTCTTTCCTTCCTTTCTCCCTCCCTCCTTCTCTCCGGCCTTCTCCTTTCTCAAGATCTGGATTTCTCTCTCCATCTCTCTTCTCCTTGTTCCTTTCTCCTTTCCTTGCCCGGTTGGTCTTGGCTTGCAATATATATATATGTGTGTGTGTGTGTGTGTGTGTGTATACACATACATACAGTGTGCCCTCTCCTCTGAAATGTATACACTTTCATACAGTTAAGGTGATTGATTGGCAAGCTAAGGAAATGCATTGATGTTGCAGAATGGATGCACGGATGATCTTGATTTGCTATCCCACCTATGTACAATTTTTGAACAGAGGATTATCAGAAGGCGAAATAAGCCCATTGCTATTGAAGATTAAGCACATGGTTGGTGTGGAGATGCACTACAAGATAATAGTGTTCCCTCCCAAAATGTATACACCTTTTTGATAGTGAGTAATGACTGTGAGAATTAATGGAAGGATCAGGGAATGAAAAATACAGTCATGGTTTGTCTTGAGTTGCGAGAAAAGAGATACTGTGTCCTCTCCAAAAAACGGTACCCACCTTTCAACAGGGAATCGTATCCAGGAGGGTTATTGGAATGTCCGGGAAGTGGATTGATAGCGAAGAATTCATGTTATCTTCGTGATTTTGAGTGATAAATGTCATCTCACATTGTGGTCCTCGCACCGCTCACAGTTTCCGAGCACTCTGCTCCAAGTTGCTCTTGCCATCTTTGTAATATTGCTATTGGAATCTCTCATTTTGTTCAGCTTTGGAGGGGAAAAAATGCCAAACGTATTCCAGAATTAATAAACTGGGGTGTTGTGCACTTTTTTTTGGAAGTATATAACTCTATTTCGCTGATTCCTAAATCTGCAAGCACTGGAATATATATTAAGAGGTAAGAAAGCATGGGAAAGGCCCTCCTCTCTGTATGATTATATCATTTGGCAGATGTGGTTCATGGGAAGAGGACAAGCTTTGCCTCCAGAAAGTCCCAGGTTTCAGTCCCTTTTAGTCCCAGGTAGGAGAACGACTGTCACTCAGTGCCGTTTCCCATTTACAAGCTTTTCCTACTCACGAGACAGCGTCAAATTCCTTCAAGTACTGAGACTTGAGCATCGTATGATGCATTTGGGCAGATTATTGTAGGTTTACATCCGTTTTGGAAGAGTAAACACCATCAAGGCACCAGATCTTGAAAGCTTAAGAAGGGTCAGCTTAGGTTGGGACTTGAATGGAAGAGCGCCAACGAATACAAGGTCCTGTAGAATTGTATTTCGGAAGGAAGTAGCAAAATTATTATTATTATTTTACTGATACAAAAACACAATATGTCACAGCAAACGAGATCTATATGCTGGATTTCATATCACAAAACCACAAGTCGAACACTTCCCAAGCATCGAGGACTGCGTGATGTATTTTCTATTATTATTATTATTATTATTATTATTATTATTATTATTATTATTATTGAGCCCTAGTGGTGCAGTGGATTTAACCCATTGCCCCACCATGGCTCATTTTTTTAATTATTATTATTATTATTATTTTACTGATACAAAAAGCAAATGAGATCTATATGCTGGATTTCGTATCACAAAATCACAAGTCGAACACTTCCCAAGCATCTAGGACTATGTGATGTATTTTATTATTATTATTATTATTATTATTATTATTATTATTATCATGTAAAAAGTGGCTTGGGGGTATACTGCAAGTTGCTTCTGTTTTGAGAGAATTGGCTATCTGCAAGGATGTTGCTCAGAGGACGCCTTGATGTGTTTCCATCCTATGGGAGACTTTACTCATGTCCCCACATGGGAAGCTCACCCCATCTTGCGGATTCGAACCACCAACCTTCAGGTCAGCAGTTCAGCCAGCACAAGGGTTTAACCCATTGAGTCACCACGGCTCCTAATTATTACTACTACTACTACTACTACTATTATTATTATTATTATTATTCCTCCTCCTCCTCCTCCTCCTCCTTCTTATTATTATGAGTAGTAGTAGTAATATCCTGCTTTTTCTCTCCATAAGGATACTCAGAACCTTATGGAACCACCTCTGTCTAAGAAAATCCTATGATATTAATCCGGTTGCCATAATTTGATAGGCAAGGATTGTGTGTGTGTGTGTATGCCTGTTAACTTACTTTGACTCCACGAATTTTGTAGGATTTTTTGTAGGCAAAATGGTTTGGGCAGTTCCTTCCTCTAAAACAGTGGTTCCCAACCTGTGGTCCGTGGACCACCAGTGGTCCGCAAGAACTAAAATATAGTCCGCAACCTCACTGTTACTGCACCGTTGCAAGGACAGCAACTGGTCTCGCTAAATCCTCTTATAGTGCAGAGACTTGCTAAATATGGTTTCCTGTAGGTGAGCATATGGTGACTACTGGATGGCATATGTTCTGTATCAGAAACTAGAGCTGATGTCGTCTAGCCAATGCAATTTTCTGAATTAGCACCCCAAATAACCATACAGAATCTAAAGTTGATCAAAAACTGATTTGTAACCCTTTTGGTACTAATGTTGGAGCGTGGTCCCTGGTCAAAGTGGTCCCTGGTCAAAAAAAGGTTGGGAACCACTGCTCTAAAATATAGCCTACAGCAACAGTTATCCTTTAGTGGTTTCCCATCAGAGCTCTAATCTGGGCTGGCCTTATTTAGCTTCCAAGCACAGGTGGGATGTGGTGCCTTTAGGGTATTTTACTCTTTCATAAAAGATTTCAACCAACATAAACTTTAGGGTATTTTACCCAAATGGAGTTTCAGGCTGCATACTGGCTTTGCTCCAAATGGTTATACAATTTTCAGGACCTCTTTTGTCAACTAGTCAAGGGCCTGATTTCTTTCCCTTGGACTTTCTGATTAGACTTGCAGACATCAGCGTGACTTCCAAGGAGATTACCAACCATGCATCTCTTTCTTCGTAACAGTCCTCTAGACCTTCATAAGGCTTTAAAGAAAGCACCAAGCCTGGTTTGGGCCTGTGGTCACTTGTTTTTTGGGTATGGATCCACAAATCACTTCCTGGAGAGCTATCAAAAATGCCTTCTGATATTTCCCTTGTGAGCGTTTGCAGATGCAGATCCAAGGCGTTGGAGGATACCTTTAGAGAAGATATGTCTCCAGAGTAAACTTCTATGTTTCTGTTGAGAACTAATTGTGTTCAGATTGTACTGGTTTGCATAACATAAACGTATGCAGAAGTAAAGCACCAAAAGACATAAACATTGACTTCCTTCACTGAGATGTCAGTAGGATCTACCCAACACTGACTCCATAGTGTTATAGTTTTGAGGCACAGTTCTGTATTTCTCTAACCCCAGAATAAGTTTTCAAGCAGGCTGTGTGGATATTTCTAGTGGAAACTTAATAATAATAATAATAATAATAATAATAATAAGCACGCATCATTCGAAAATACATCACACAGTCGTAGACACTTCGGAAGTGTTCAACTTGTGATTTTGTGATACGAAATCCAGCATAGAGGTCTCATTTGCTGTGACATACTGTGGTTTTGTGTCAGTAAAATAATAATAATAATAATAATAATAATAATAATAATAATAATAATAGTAGTACTTACTTAGGCGATCCCGCGTTGTCCGAGGATGGTGGTCTTCCAAGTGTAGGGTCTTGGCAGTGGTTTCATAGGACCCACCACCATCTCTCCGAAGGGACTCGAAGCGGTTTACAGATGGCACAAACAAACATAAAAGTGAACACAATATAAAATTAAATTAAATAAAGTACACACACATACAAACAATTTTACTCTAGAGTTGTGAGGACAAGAGCTTTGCAAGCTTTGGTGGGATGTAATGCCAAGGTACAATAACTGCAAAGTATTATTATTTCCTTTGCTATTTTGTGCAACATTACAGCTTCTAAACA